CACTTTTTCCACCACTTTTTACATCAGGATCAACACAATGCAGTTCATGTTTGTTATAATCGTTAGTATTATTCTTAGCGTTGCCGAAACGTTTCGTAAGAAACCGCTTCGACAGCGCTACAACATTATTATGATTGCGCAAGTGCTACGCTAAGCGTCGCCTTGAAAATATATCGCAACATATTGGGGACAGGTCAGCAGTAAATGTAACAACTTTACAGTTGACCAAACACCCCCGTCTACGACCTAATTATAGATTATAAAAGGACCAGAGAAGAACGCCAAACAGGGCTATTGCTCCTCCGGTTCTGCGACAGCAACTTACGCGACCGTCAAATTGTATTAAGTAATAAGAACTCGGGAAGTTCGTTTAAAAAGGTGCATTAAATTTATTTGCCAAACTACATCACTACGCCTTTGCATCCCCGACCCACCGATCCCGAATCTACTCGACGTGTCTCACCACCCTGGGGCACAACAAATTGGTGGCAGCGGTGGGATCGGTGTCCGCCGGGGCCTAGGTGCTACCTGTAAAAAGAAACTACGGGTTAGAAAAGTGACGTAAAAAACAAAAAAGACGATACAGTCGGAACCAACAAGTGACGTGGGAGATACGTTACTAGACAAGAGTTACCAGATATCGCAAGCACGAAGAAAAAATTGCCTCGTCAACATACTTAGACGGGAAGGCTCAAGGAAGCAAAAAGGAAACAATAAGGGGAGCTCGAAAAATTTATTACAAGCCCCGAAGACGTCTAACAAGGACCATACACACACAAAAAAAAAGGAGAGAGAGAGAGAGAAAAAAAAAAAGAAACATTTGGAGAGAGCTAAAAAGTCATTGAGAGCCCTCCAAGACAACACCCTGGGACCACAAGGCTAACAGAGACGGCAGAGGACAGCGGTAATCGGTGAAAGACGAGCAGCAGCGTAATCAAGGCGACCGTCGGAGCTACGGCCTACGATACTACGTTGTCAGCGACACCGGAGCCTACGGCGACTGCACCAGCGGCGACCGCGACCTGCCCAACGCCATTGACCCAGTAACGAGTGACGACTTGCCGACTCACCCAAAACACGATGAGCTACAGAAGAGCCGTGACAACATTATTGTAAGTCGAGAAACTATTGTAATCTAAGCGATTAAGTTTATGCGAGCGAACACGTAAAGGCGTGAATGTCGAGCGGAAGCGGTACTCCTGACCAACCTATACCAAATCAATCGTGGCTACACAGCGCACCAGCGCGATTAACTATCGAACACCTTTCAAATCCCAACGAGACAGTTGCCGAAGTTTTAGAAGACGTGCGTGAAACATTAGAGCTTGTGCGTCGCGTATTAGACTATTCGGATGAAACCGAACGCGAATCCCCAGAGCACGTAATCGCCGAACGTGAATTCCCTTTCGGAGAAATAGACCATAGCATATTACCGGACGTGCAAATTACAAACGACATCCGACGTACAAGACGCCGCGCATATTTACCCTCACACGATACCGTTAGCGACGTCTCGCAAAGAGGGGATTTCTCTTTAACCTCTTACGATAGTAGTGTATTCGATTCATTTGACGAAATGGCCACCGGGCAACGCGACGAAACCCTACACGCGGCGGAGAACGGAAGAGATCAAGAAATCTCTCGCCCCCGCGGGGCTCAACTACGAGAAGAGCCGTTGAGCGAAGTAAACGATCCTCAACCAGGAATCAGCAGAATTCGACGCGACGTTGACATATACAATAACGCTAATGAGCAGTTATTAGCGCGTATAGAGGACTTGCGCGATACTATCTATACGAATGCAGCCTTACTAACTAACTCTCGCATAGACGACCCACAAAATGTAAGAAACATTAACGTAGATACGGAACAATACCCTCCAGACAGACGAGGACAAGGTCACAGTGACCATTTTCCAGACGGGTTACCCCCGGTTAGCGAGGAACGATCCCGACGCATCAGGGAAGCGCGAGATCAGATCCCCATATTTAATGGCACGCAGGATGATAAATTAATAGAATTCCTAACGGCGTGTGAATACGCGTTTGAGCTAATACATCCTGCTGACGAATCTACATTAATTCGAGCAGTAATCTGCACCAAGCTAAAGGGAATCGCCCTAACAGAGGTAAAAAACCGAAACATTCACACTTTTGCTGTCCTCAGGGGTGTGTTAGAAAGATGTTTCATGAAAAAGAAATCAATAACTCGACTACTTCGAGACTTTAATAATTTGCATCAAAAACCTGGAGAAGATGCGCGAACTTACGGAAACCGTGTAGAATCATTAACTACGGATCTATTCGAGGCCGGAACGGAAGGGGATCTCTACTCCCCCACGCAGAAACTTGGCATTCATTTTTTCTTGAAATCGTTAGCCCTAATCAACTATCAACTAGGACTAAACGACAGGCTACAAACAATAGTCCGGTCCCGTGCACCCGCGACTTTAGCCGAGGCAATAGCAGGGGCAATTGAAGAAGAAAGAATTAAAGGAACCCTGGAGATTCCTGCACGCACCTACGAAATAAATCGGTATAACCGAGGATCTCTCGCGAACACTAAACGAGATGTTCCCATAATACAATGCCAAAAGTGCGGAAAATTAGGGCATCAGGGACGCGAATGCCGTAGCAGTCGATATGGAAATCGGTTCGTTCTGCCTAAACCAGCAGTAACCTCTCGCGTGAATGCAACCGACACATGGTGCACACGATGCAAGAAAAACGGACACACTCGCGATAGCTGCTGGTACATACACGGGAAGCCGACCGAGACACGGGACACCGCGCGTGACTACCGTAGACCCTCGCGGCCAGTGACTATCACTGCGGTAAATACAGATAAACCAGCGACGTCGCGCAGAAACGGGAACGTCCGATTTATTAATGATACAGAAGGAGAAATAAAAAAGGAGCAAAATCGCGTGCGCGACTACCGCGTAAATCAGATCCGCCGAAACTTACATAAAAACGCAGGATTCGACTTAGTCATCTTGCCAATAAAGGAGGCGAAACGAGAAAGAATACCTTTTCTCGTTGACACGGGATCTGCAATAAGCCTCGTAAAGATACGAACGCTGGACGATGATACCCCTATGACTGCAGAAAAACTGACACTTACGGGTATCACCGGACATAAAGCCTACACGATAGGAAAAATAATCGCCACAGTCAACGTAGGAAACCAGCGCCGAAGATTCGAACTATATGTTGTACAGGATGATTTCCCAATCGAGCACGAGGGAATATTAGGAATAGATTTCCTTCGCAAACACCGCGCTAATCTTGATTATAAAGCAAGGACGATGATGATTTCCGGACAAAGTCTATCGCTGATTTCACAGCAGACGTATAACCTTCCCGCGCGCAGTGAAGTAATAATACGTGCCGCAGTAAACATAAATCGAGTGGGAGTAATCCCCGCTGAAGAAATTTCACAAGGAATTTTTATCGGAAATTGTTTGGTAGAACCTGACAATTTCACATGTCCAGCAACGGTAGTAAATACTACCGATAATATTGTCGAAATAGCTACACCATATGTAATATTAGAAGATACCCCGAAATATGATACCGCGGAGATAAACATGCTCACAAAAAATCAAAGCAATAAACTGACAGCGCGAACAGAAAAATTGAACCAACAATTAAGATTGGAGCATTTAAACAACGAAGAAAAAAAAATTATACATGAAATTTGTGAGGAATATAATGATATATTTTTTCTCGAAGGAGATAGCCTCACGCATACCGCGGTGGTAAAGCATCAAATCACCACGCGAAGTGACGCCGCGCCGGTGAACGTGCGACCATATCGTCTTCCGGAAAAGCACAAGAAAGAGGTAGACAAGCAAATACGAGAAATGCTTGACAATAAAATAATAAGAGCTAGCAACAGCCAGTGGAATGCACCGTTATTAGTAGTACCCAAAAAAACGGATGCCTCAGGAGAAACGAAACTAAGGATCGTAGTCGATTTTCGGAAGTTAAATGATTTAACTATAGGAGATTCATTCCCTCTACCTAATATCAGCGACATTCTAGATCAATTGGGGAACGCTAAATATTTCTCTACCTTGGACCTCGCAGCAGGATACCACCAGATAGAGATGGCAGAAAAAGATAAGCAAAAAACAGCGTTTTCAACACCTACGGGACATTACGAGTTTAACAGAATGCCGTTCGGATTAAAAAATGCACCAGCCACTTTTCAACGACTAATGAACACTGTCCTAACAGGATTACAAGGGTTAAAATGTTTGGTATACCTAGACGACATAGTAATATATGGAAATAGTCTAGAAGATCACAATAAAAAACTTATCAGTATATTACACAGAATACGGCAATGTAACCTAAAACTTCAACCAAATAAATGTGAGTTCCTTAGGAAAGAGGTAACCTACCTAGGACACATAATTTCGGAAAAGGGAATCCTACCAGACCCAAAAAAGATAGAGGCCATAACAAATTTCCCAAGGCCTAAAAAAACTAAAGACATCCAGTCATTTATAGGTCTCGCAGGGTATTACCGAAAATTCATTGAGAATTTTTCAAAAATAGCACGACCCTTGACTAAACTTACAAAAAAGGAGGAAAAATTTGAATGGGGTCAACAACAACAAACAGCGTTCGACGTGTTAAAAGAAAAACTAACCACCACACCGGTATTACAATATCCGAATTTTGAAAAGGAATTCGTCGTGACAACTGACGCATCCGATCATGCAATTGGAGCCATATTATCACAGGGCCGCATAGGAGAAGACAATCCGATAGCTTATGCAAGCCGCGTACTATCACGCGCGGAACAAAATTATAGTACTACTGAAAAAGAACTACTAGCAATAGTATGGGCCGTAAAACATTTTAGGCATTACATTTACGGGACAAAATTTAAAATTGTTACAGATCACAAACCATTGGTTTGGCTATTTAACGTTACGGACCCCGGATCTAGATTAATAAGATGGAGATTGAAATTAGAAGAATACGATTATGAAATAGTCCACAAATCAGGGAAAATAAATGTTAACGCAGATGCGCTAAGCAGATACCCCCCGGTATCAGTAATACAAACAAGTGCTCCGTTTAAAACGACTAAAACAGAAGAAGAAGAAGAGGAAAGAGAAGAAGAAGAAGAAGAAGAAGAAGAGGAAGAGGAAGAAGAAGAGGGAGAAGACACAGACATGCACGGTATGCGAAATTATACCAAAGAAGAGAAGAATCAAATCCTATATGAATACCATAACGCTCCATTAGGAGGACACCAAGGAGTACAACGCACATTAAATAGACTACGTCTAAAACATAACTGGAAAGGGATAACAAAAGACGTGGCACAATATATAAGAAAATGTGAACTGTGTCAAAAGAACAAGTTAAGCATTCAGAAGAAGGCACCAATGATTATTACAGACACACCTACTGAACCTTTCGAGAAGTGTGCATTAGATATAGTAGGACCTCTAACCATAACAAGAAATGGAAATAGATATCTTTTAACATTCCAGGACATGTTGACCAAATTTAGTAAAGCGGTCCCTATACCAAACCAAGAGGCAACCACCGTCGCAAAAGAATTCACAGAAAAGATTATATTAGAATATGGAATACCAGGAAAAATATTAACGGATCAAGGAACGAATTTCCTAAGTAAAGTTTTTAAATCAGTATGTAAACTATTGAGAATAGAAAAAATCCAAACAACGGCGTACCACCCACAGAGTAACGGGGCTCTGGAAAGATCTCATCGTACACTCACGGAATATCTTCGTCACTACATAAATCAAGATCAAACAGACTGGGATGAGTGGACCCCATATGCTATATTCACATACAATACGACCCCCCACTCTGCAACTAATTACACTCCGTTTGAGTTAATATATGGACACCAAGCAACACTACCATCGTCCATATTAGGATCACCAAAAAATACATACAGCATTGAGGATTATGCACAGGAGATGAAACAACGACTCCGAGCAACGAATCAAATTGCCCGGGAGCACGTCAAGGAGGAGAAAATAAAAAGTAAAAAGTATTATGATAAAAACACGAAAAAAGCTGTACTTGACATAGGAGACCAGGTGTTACTTCATGACGAGACAGTACGAAGGGGAAGATCAAAGAAGCTAGATGCAATGTGGATAGGACCATATGAAATAATTGAAAAACACCCTAACGAAAACTATACAATAAAACGCGGCCGACGAACACTTCGTACGCACGCGAACCGATTAAAGTTATACTTAGAAGATTAAAAAAAAACTTACCTAGAACGGAGGTGTTCCCTTGCCACGTCCACAAAAAGGTCGGTCCTGGAGAACGACTTGGGAAGCTCCAATTTGCCGAAGTGTTTCCACACGAGTCCAAATAGCACGACCATGACCGCGACCAAGTGGAGGACGGTGAAACCCTCCCGACACGTTCCAGGAAGGAGACGGCACAGAACCGTCAAAAACATCATCCAATTCTTCACAAACTACACATTCCCGCTAAACAAAATAATAACGAAAAGCACTATATACATATTCAACAGGGCTACAGATAAAATCACTACCTCAGGACGCACGGTACAAGGGACTGTGACAGACGACATCGTGGTCGTTGAGGGAATGAAACAACACTGATAGATGCATTAGTCGCTAACATAAATACGACACATGCAAACAATAAAAACGGGTATCATATCTATTCCAACACCTGAACCCCAATGTATTTCCAGGACACTCGTACTGATAAAAAGTGCCAACCTCAGAGTAAAAGGAACAGAGACAAAGGCACCGTATGAGATCATCAAATTCACACATACTCCTGGAGTGTATTATGACCTTCAAGGACAATTACACCAAGTTGTCTCTACATGGAAGGTAGTAATCAGAATAGACATACAGGGAATAGACATTCGAGGTAACCAGATACAAAAATATCTTAGAAACACACAAGAGGTATGTAACCAACAAAAAGAACCGAGCATTACGTGGGAACTGTGTGAAAATTCACAAAAAATTGTAAAAAAGGGGTTAGACCGCGTACAAAATATAACGGAACGATTGCACAATATATATAAAAATCCAAGAGAAATAAAACGAGGATTAGTAGATGGAATAGGATCCTTAACAAAATCACTATTTGGAATAATGGATGCGAATGATGAAAAAATAATAAACGAACAATTAAGCTTAATAGAAAACAAACAAGAGACGTTACAACATGCAATAGCAAACCAACTCAAAATTATTAATACAACTATCAATCATTTAGATAATTTAGAACAAACTTTGGAAACAAATGAGCAAATATTATGGAACACTATTACACAGCTCTATACAGAGGAAACAGGAATCATATTACGCCAACATATAGATGAACATTTTACAATACTTACTGCTTTACTTAATGATTTAATACGTGACCAGAACGATATAGTAAATTATTTAGATAACATACAGCTAGGAAACTTACCTATCAACCTAACACCCATAAATAGCATCGTGTCTCAATTACAAGAGGTAGCAATACACTTACCAAAAGGAACAAGATTTCCATTCACGCCTAAAACAGAAAATTGGTTGGAAATAAAGAAATTTCTCACAATTAGTGCGTATTACAAAAATAAAAATATCTTTACTATTTTATACTTACCTCTTATAACATATAATACGTACGAAATAGTACACATACATCCTTTCCCGGTTTACAGCCATGATAACATTTTCGCTTTAACTAGCATTGCATACACACAAGTAGCTATTAACCAGGAAACAAACACATATTTACTATTACAAGAAAACGAATTAACACATTGTATAAAAATTAATAATCAATATATTTGTCCGCAACAAAATGCGATATATAGAATTAACGAAGAAACACCTTGTGAAATCCAGATGTATACGACATTACAAAATATGAAAAACTGCCATTTAAAATACATTATAGCTAACCATACCTTCGTAATAGCATTAACGCGAAAGAATACATGGTTATATTCCACCAATAGTGAGCAAACCATCCATATTCAATGCAAAGAAAAAACATTTTATGAGAAAATAAGCAAAACAGGAATTATACACATTAAGGATCAATGTAAAGTAATAATTGAAGACAAGATTTTACAAGCACAAGGTATAATAAAGAGCACATTAATACAAACGCACATACCTGAATATAATATAACATTAGAACAAAAAAATTTAAACGTGATAAAAAACAAAAACGAAATCCTACACGTAAAACCAAATAAAATAATACACAACCCATCAGAGTTGGTAGAATTAAGTAACAGAATAACACAAACATATAGAAATTTAGAAAACAACTCAAACTCGTTTCTACATTATAAAAATATTATGTACACAACAGCACCGAGCGGAGTAACTATAGTCATAGTGATTATAATTGCGATAATTGTAATAAAGAAAATTAAAAATGGAAAAAACTCACCAATCGTAATAGAACGTAGCAATAAACGAAATATCAGAACACAACCTAAACCAATATTAAAACGTAGACATAGCCTACATGTACAGTTGTAAGTAAGGAAAACGATTATAACTATTATTGTAACGGAAAAAAAAAAAATGATAAAAATTGTAAAGCGTTATAATTTAAGGCGAAAACGTCGTTCCAGACCTTCCGTTTTCTTGCTCCATGGGGGGAGGAATGTTATAATCGTTAGTATTATTCTTAGCGTTGCCGAAACGTTTCGTAAGAAACCGCTTCGACAGCGCTACAACATTATTATGATTGCGCAAGTGCTACGCTAAGCGTCGCCTTGAAAATATATCGCAACATATTGGGGACAGGTCAGCAGTAAATGTAACAACTTTACAGTTGACCAAACACCCCCGTCTACGACCTAATTATAGATTATAAAAGGACCAGAGAAGAACGCCAAACAGGGCTATTGCTCCTCCGGTTCTGCGACAGCAACTTACGCGACCGTCAAATTGTATTAAGTAATAAGAACTCGGGAAGTTCGTTTAAAAAGGTGCATTAAATTTATTTGCCAAACTACATCACTACGCCTTTGCATCCCCGACCCACCGATCCCGAATCTACTCGACGTGTCTCACCACCCTGGGGCACAACATGTTTGTAGAATCCTACAGGTTTTCCACGAAAGTCTTCAGGCAGATAAGTTACGGGATTAGTATGCTGCACTTTGACAATTGTGAATACTTTGGTTGTCCAGTTCGGTAACCCTTCTCGAAGACAGTCTTGAACTTACTCACGCGTACAGAGTCGCCCACTTTGAATCTCGCTAGAGCCGCAATCTTTACGCTACTGTACACCATACTTAGGAGTTTTTCAGCGATCGCAGGGGTCACATCGATAGATCGCATACTGATGGTCCGGTGCTTGCACCCATTGTACTCACAACGACACGAGACGCGACAGTATGTCGATCCATTTGTAGGTTTTGTTGAATGTAAACATTTTCTACATGTTATTTTTTACCGTGCGATTGAATCGTTCCACGACAGACGTTTTCATTACCGAATACATCGAATAATGATTGATGTTGTGTTTCTTTATTAGTCTACTTGGAGCTTCAGCGTTGTAATCTAAGATTAAGCTATTCAAGATACAATGGCGAATGCCTCACGTAATGTTGAATGTTATTAATAAACTTGCCCTGTTGAGAACTTTGGAGAATGGTCGATATCTGAGTATGAGTTTCCGTTCATGGGATCTATATGAATTTTCTCTGCTGCAAAGCACGATCAAACATTTGTGGACCATCAAAACAGCCATTAATTTGGAAAAGCCACGATATGTTATTTTTGCGCTGCAGACTGGTCGAAAAAATCTCATGTAGGAAAATAAATATAACTTAATTCAACAACTGCAATTTGACCAACGTGAAACTTTATCTAAATTCAGAGTGTTATCCATACGATGACATGAATTTGGATTTTGTAAAAAACAAATATGCAATACTTTATGATATGTATAGCCGTTTTCGCAAATTGTATTATGGATGTAACAGTGCTGAGGCATGGTTAACAACTATCGACTTTCTGGAGCAAGGTCCTTTCGTGATTATCGATTGTTCGCGTCAAAACGAATCTGTCAAAAGTGCCACTGTAGATGTGCGGATAGAATTTGAGTGTAGAGAGAATATACCAGCGAATACTATCGCATACTGCCTGATCTTGCATGATTGTGTAGTTGAATATAGCCCACTAACCAACTTAGTGCTCAAAATCAAATAACAGTGGAAAGAAAAGAATATAATCAAAGGCTATACACAACATTTTTATCCCGAATGTATCGAAGAGCATTTCGCTATGGTCGTATCATACCAACGTTTATGGACTTGCAAGGATTCGTTGTGGGAAAGAGATTTATTGTAAAGGAAGTAGCGATACTTAGAAATGGATCTGTTATCTTCCATTATATTTTTACTAGTCCCATGCCATGGCATCTTCTCACAAGATCCGACAAATCGAGAGTATACTGGTTGACGGCTAATCATCATGGACTACGATGGGATGACGGGATCGTTGAGTATAGCAGAGCCAAGCACTTGATTACGACAGCTGTGGTTGGCAAATCACGCGTTGCCCTTGTATATGCAAAGAGGCGTGAAAAGCGTGAATGGTTGGCAAATCTTCTGGATGACAATGTGAAAAGTAACCTGATCATCGAGACCTTGGACGTGGATTACAAGGACATAATTTCCTTGGACAAACTGGATGCAACCAACATTTTACGATGTAATAATCACATTAAGCATTGTGCTTTACAGAATGTATTGAAAATATACAATTGGTTGTGCCGGAGAGAGTTGTAAACCTTTATAAATAAACATTTTTTTAATGTATTAATATTTTTTTTATTTCCCATCAAAGTATTTACATAAATACGCATACATTAGAAACATTTTTTTCTCATAGTTTTCGGAATGTCTCGAGTACTCTAGAATATTCTAGAGAGCGAATCATGAACGCAGGGGCCACTGAAAAAAAGAGGATCAATAAAATGATCAATTGCGTCGGACTTACATATGAATTTAAATTGAAAATTAACGCTGTCTTACCTCGTTTCTGGAGCGGAATCTCGGCAATGGGGTAAAATCCTAATTAATCGCTAGGTCGCTGATATCGATGACATAGCAGGAAAGTGTTTCCAGATAATTGGCTGGTCATCGATATCACCAGAAATGTCAATGACCTCCACTTCTTTATTAGGTTGCTCGTTTTGGATGATTTCTAAAATTATATATATATACAGGATATAGCAAAAGTACCGGAACGGCAAGATAACTCGGCGTATAAAATGTTAAATATAAAAGTTTTAGGATTTTTTCCTGGCTATCCGATGGTGACCTGGACCTAGACCTTGACCTTCAAGGTTACTTCAAGGTCAAATTCGATTTTTCAAATGGGACTCCATACTTTTGACGCCAGAAATGAAAAGAGCGGAAAATTTTACGTTCAGATATGACCTTAAGTAATCCCTCCCCTTTGACCTTGGGGTCACCCGCAAGGTCAAACTACGAAAAATTTGTAGTAGCCGAGTTGATCAAAGAACTTGACCAACTTTTATCTTTAGTGACCGCTAATTACCAGCAATGACCGCCTTTTACCTTTGGTGACCAACAATGACCAACTTTATTAGGTTTTGACCACAAATTTTCTCACATCAGTTTAGTAAATGGAATGATCCATTAACTGTTACCTTCATTTTATCTCCTAAGTTATTCGAAAAATTATTCTCCACAGCTACTCCATTACTTGTTCCTTTGATAATCCGATTTTCAGGGTAGATTTTTAGGAGGATTATAAAAATTCGTGGAGAGGATAGACTATTACAGACAAATCCGACTTCAAAATTTTTTATTTATTTCCGGTGTCAAAAGTAAAAGCATCATTTAAAAAACTACATTTGTCTTCGAAATGACTTTGAAGGTCAAGGTAAATTCAAGATCACCATCGGATAACCGGGGATAAATTCAAAACTTGTAATAGTTGACGAATTCCAAATCGATTCAAGTTCTTTGATAAACGCGGCTACTGCAAATTTCTCGTGGTTTGACCTTGCGGGGGACCCCAAGGTCAAAGGGAAGGGGTTACTTAAGGTCATATCTGAACATAAAATTTTCCGCTCTTTTCATTTCTGGCGTCCAAAGTATGGAGTCCCATTTGAAAAATCGAATTTGACCTTGAAGTAACCTTAAAGGGCAAGGTCTAGGTCAAGGTCAAGGTCACCATCGGATAGCCAGGAAAAAATCCTGAAACTTTTATATTTAACATTTTTCTCTAGAATGCTCCCCCGCCGAGTTATCTTGCCGTTCCGTACTTTTGCTATACCCTATGTGTGTGTGTGTGGGTGCGTGTGTGTGTGTGTGTGTATGTGTGTATAATTAGCATATAAATGCGGTTTTAAAATAAGTCGTAATTAATATTTTACTGGTATATGTAAACTTACCCACGTCGTTATCGATGTCTTCCACCGTTCTTATAGGCGAGAAAATCATGTGTTCGGCCGAATTTCCTGGGCTACGGGAAACAACAATCGTTAGTTTCATATACTTCTAATGTATTGTAGTTTTTTTATATAATGTTATAATCGCGAATAGTACCAGCGCTTTCGAAACACTTCTCGAGGAATTGTTTCGATTGCGCCACAAGGAAGCGGATGTGCAAGTGCGACGATAAGCACCACCTTGCACATTCCGCATTTAGGACCTCAATTCAAAACGCATTACACCATTACCAAATATGGTAATGTGCTTGTTGCCAGGCAAGGCCCCCTCCGACAAGCCTAAAACAATATTATAAAAGAGCGGAGAAGACTACCCGGGTAAGACTTAACACCTCGGTCTCTCGCCGCAACATACGCGTCATACGTGACTTACGCGCGGTTCGCACATTAAATCATAAGTACGGGAGTTGTAACTAAAACATATACAAGTGTATTTATCAAATAAACCTTTATATATATATATATTACTACAAGAGGTAGTCTAAACTTTTACTACATTTTATCCACCGCCACACACCCTGCCGCGCCCGCATCACCGATCTCGAACTTTTTCTTCGTGTCCCGGCAACACGGGCACGACAATAATTATTACGATATTTCGCTTAACTGGTGCGGTTGAGTACATTCCCGATCATGCTCCACACATCCTTCATTTCCTCTCCGTAATTACGCCTAATTACGAGGATTTCTCTCACAATTTCTTTGATCCGGTCATCACAAAGTCTTCCGCTGTTAAACAGCAACACGAGTAGCGTGCTGCTGCATTCGCAAGCAAAGATATAAAATAAATTATAGTTTTCTGCGTCGTCGCTTTTCGATACGCGAGATAAATATTTCTCGCGATCGATATTTGGGCTCGCGTAAGAACTGTTATAATCGCGAGTAGTACCAGCGCTTTCGAAACACTTCTCGAGGAATTGTTTCAATTACGCCACAACAAGGAAGCGATGTGCAAGTGCTGCGATAAGCACCACCTTGCACATTCCGCATTTAGGACCTCAATTCCAAACGCATGACACCATTACCAAATATGGTAATGTTCTTGTCGCCAGGCACCCCCTTCGACAAGTCTAAAACAATACTATAAAAAAGCGGAGAGACCGCTCGCGTAAGGCTTAACATCTCGGTCTCTCGCCGCGACATCCGCGTCATACGTGACTTACGCGCGGTACGCATATTAACCCATAAGTACGGGAGTAGTAATTAAAACTCATACAAGTGTATAAATTAAATAAACCTTTTTATATTTTACACTACAAAAAGTAGTCAAAGCTTCTACTACATTTTATCCACCGCCACACACCCTGCCGCGCCCGCATCACCGATCTCGAACTCTTTTCGTGTCCTGGCAACACGGGCACGACAGAACCCTCGACGATATATTCGCGCACTAGAGCATTTAATTATGACATAATATTCACGCGTTGTGTTGTCGAGGCCTGTATAACTTGTGTCTTCGAAAAAAAAATCGACTCTCTTTTACTTCCATTCCTATCTTTGAAAAAGAAATATCTGCGTAAGTATGCGGTAATCTCATATATTAATGTTAGATAAAATTCTTTTCGGGACCGACTGACTGATTGATTGACTGACTGACTGACTGTGTAGACAGTCGCACCCGTTTTTATAGGCAGGTGGCGAGATACTCCCGCGCAAGTTCTCACCACCTTTTAGTTGAAGGGGAAAGACGACGGTTTCTCACGACATGTGAGCAATAATCAATAGTTAGATTTTGACACCTTATTATCAATCCATTGTTCATCGACCACCCAGGGTATTTATTGCATTCCTGATGGTAACAGAAGGTGCACTTGATCGAAATAAAGAGAAGTTACGTCGGACGTAACACCTTCCCCCTTAAGTCATACGTGGTATATTTAAATAATGCGTGGTATATTTAAATACCACGTGTGAGCGTGTTGTGTAAAATGATTGTGGTTAATCAGTGTCTTTAATATAAGTATATTTCTCTATGTGTGATACAATAGTAGAATATATGTAAGATAGTACAATAGATAGAATATGTGTTATATAATAGTGAATTTAACAATAGATATAATAACACAGCCCCACGGGAAAAAAAGTGCCATGTGCGAAAGACTAGACCACCACTCCTATACGTTTTTGAAGTCGCTGAATTCGAATCTGGTGTCTGTTTGACGTAGTCAGGTCAGGTTCAAGGTCATTTGAAGGTCAACCTTTGTTTTTGACAGTAATGCAATTTTTTGCCGGTGGATTTGGAAAGAGCGGGAAATTTCACGTTTGGATACGCGGTTCAAAATATTTTTGGAGGTCATGTTCAAGGTCATTTGAAGGTCAACTCTTGTTATGGATGGTAATGCAATTTTTCGCCGGCGGATTCGGAAGGAGCGGAAAATTTTACGTTCGGATAATGCAATTTGTAACTCTGGATTGCGAAAAAGCCTCTCTCTTACTCACCTATTTTTATTATAACGGACATGTTTATCTCGAAACGATCTGAAGAGTGGCTTCCTTTTACGTTTGACACCTTTTTTCTCACTTTCTCTCTTTAAGTTCCAGCAGAAATCTGTCATCATATTGACGTCGCATCTTCCTTGATATCGTCTTTCCATATCTTTGATGTCTTGATAGAACCTCTCTTCTTGCTCTTCACTATAAGCTCCCAAGTTCAATGGAAAGTAGTCAATGTGTGAGTCAAGAAAATGTAATTGGAGGTTTATATTACACCCTAACACTCGGGAATTCTCTACCATTTCAGCTACTATTTCTTTATAGTTTTCACTTTTTTTATTACCCAGGAAATTTTCTACAGTTCTCTTAAAACTATCCCATGCAGTTTTTTCTTTATCATTCATGTGCTCAATAAAACTATGATCTCTGAGCATCTTTCGAATTTGTGGTCCATCGAAAACCCCTTCTTTTAGTTTTGCTTCAGATAGTTTTGGGAATTGTTATTGCAAGTACAAGTAATATTCGCCTGCTTTATCTAAAGCTTTAACAAACTGTTTCATTAAGTCTAGTTTGATATGTAGGGGTAAGCAGCACTCTTTCAGGGTTGACCAGAGGTTGACGAATTACGTTTTTCGAATTCTCCTCAAACGAAGTCCGTTGAGGCCACACTTTCCTTATATAATGATTTATACGGTCCCGACTATCCCACAAACATAAGAAGCAAGGATACTTTGTGTATCCAGATTGTTGCTCTAAAATAACTGTCAAAATTTTGAGATCTCCGCAAACTAACTAACTCCACTTATGCTCTGCGTATTTTATTTTATTTAGCACTAATTGAATATCTTCATAATTCTCTTTGAGTTCTGTCGAATGTGCTACCGGTAATGGAGCGTAGACATTCGTATTGTGAAGTAACACTACCTTCAGGCTTTGCGTTGAAGAATCCATAAAAAGTCTCCATTCATCGTCTTTGTAAATACCAGGCGCTAATTCATCCATGAGTCCATTCACATTGTTACAATATACAAATGAGGGTTCATTTGACATCGTGCGTTAGGGATCCAGGTCCGATCGCTAGTGAATCCGCCGTCCTAGGGGTGATGACCCTCAAACCTCCCTAGGTCTAAGTATGAGGGCTTTCCGACTTTGACGAGGAATTGGTCATCTCGTCGTCGGACACACTACGGCTTCATTCTCAACTCCCTAACGCCTCCTTGCAGAGCAGCGCGCCTCCGCTGGCTTTGATACCTCAGCATATCGTACGATGGATTATGCCACACATCCCCTTCCGGGGTAGTGTCACCATCTACAACATATTCTGAGGTAGCAGGATTTGAAATACTCTCACTGTGAAAGGAAGTGTGGTAAAGCCACAATCAGGGCATGTAGGACCAAATTTTAGAATTAGAAGGCTATCGTTGCCATTTTTATGAGCAAACTAAAAAATAAAACTCATGCTCACATGAGTTGACCTTCAAA